CGGTTCTTTGCCTTGTATGAATAAGGTTTCCTTTGCAAGTGAACTGTATTTGACAAGTAGCAGGAGCTTGTTGACAAACAAAGTTTGCTTTCTTGGACTTAAGATCTTCTTCCATTTTCCTACAAAAAGAAGTTAACAAGAACAGTAAGAAGCGAGCAAACATGAGATTTAATCTCAATGAGCCAATGCAAATACATCGAATAGTGTTTATCTGCAGCTGCTCCCATAACAAACTTCCTGATCCTATGATGGTATATTGTTTCCACAATTCCTTTCTCAATTGAGTCCATTTCAATACAGAGCTTCTCTGCTTGGATCTACACAAAGAAACCAATCTCCTTTAGAAATTATGAAAACAGAGAAAATGACTACATAACATACATACCCCTTTCTTGAGGCAAATACTGAGGTACTCTTGTAGAATCTTGTCTGTTTTCGTTGTTTCTTTTCCTCTGTATGCTCTCACTAATTCTTCATCTGCCGTTGAAGCTTCGAATTTGGTACCCACTTTTGCATCAAAAGTTTGTTTAAAAGTCAATACCTTTAGAAGCATGAGTGATCTGATCTAACCAGAAGTCAAAAGAGGGTTAGTTACTTACAAACAGGGATCGTTGACGATGGCTGGTGAATATGAACAATGCAGATTTTGCTTCCTTGGTAGTTTTGTAATGCCCACATGAGATTTGATGTGTTCTTCCATACAGTTCTCCCAACTGCGACGTAGATTTTCTCTTCGAGTATCGGTGAAGTAACTGTTTCCTCCATAGCTTAAGAACAATGGATTTTCTCAGGAAAATGAAGAGACAAAATTTAATCTGGGGAAAATGTCTTAAAAGAAAATCTCTTCCAACATCATTTGTCCGTTTATTTGGACAAGAAGAGACCCAATAGCTACACATCTCACGACTCTGTTTTTTGCTCTGTTCCTTCGAATATTCGACCAAACTATTTATATATAATATGGAAAAAGACTTCATCAATGGTTTTGTCATACACCAAAGAAACAATATTAGAAAATGTGATATAGTAATGTTATTCACATAATATCTTTTGCTTATTAATTTGTTTATTAGCTGTTTTAAACGTAATAAATATGGTCAAGAGTGTTGTACAAGGAGAGAAAGCAAGAACAAGTCTTTCAAATTGTTTTGGCAAATACAAGGTTTATACAAAGTGACTTGGATTCGATTGGTCCAATTTTATCGGTCTTCACTTTCCGGAAGAGGATGAAGAGTGAAGCCATTCTTGGATTGCGGATCGAAGAGCAAGATTTGGAACTAACTTTGTATGGAGAAGCTTCGTGTTCGTCATTGGTGAAGTCTCATGTCCTCTCTCAAGCCATGAGCTTATGGCTTCTGCTTCATATGTAAATCCATCTGCTGCTACTTGTGGATCATCCATCACTTCCTAAAACATTCAGAAAAAGAAAAAAGTTTCTCTTTTTTATAAATTGATTCGAAACAATCTTCGGTTTCTCTGATGTTTTACCTGTGTTATGGGACAGATAAAGTACTGAGGAGCTTCACGGTACTTATCATATCGAGAGCTCTTCTCATGGATGCTCTTCAGCTTCTCTGCTTCTATAATTGCTACGTCACGTTCTGTTTTCAATTCATATCGATCTTTCGTAGCTCTTCTCAACACTTCGATTGCCAAGTTATACTTGTCTTGCAACTTTTTTACCAGTATATAAGACTCGGTTATTCGGCTCTCATATACAAATCTCATCTTTTCCAGCTCTTCTCTTGCTTCCTTCAGCTCCATCTCTGTTTCTTTCCTAAGTTTAAACTCCTCCGAATATGACCTTGCACATTTAATAGCCTACATTTGGTCAGAATACTTAAGTTATTATCACGTAAAAACAACATTCCCAGTGACAATAGATTTTGTAGAAACTGGCAAGAGATTCCCAAGAACATGTTGTTACCCTTTTGATTATTTCATTTTGATCTGCTTCAACTTCCTGAAGCTTGACCAACTCCAAGCTTGCTTTCGTGACACCGAACTGGATATTATCATACACTTTATTAATGTCAACTAGATTTGAGGCTGGAACACTTTCGTTTCCCTTAGTAATCTTGGATTGGCTCGAAGGTATATCAGATCCACGCGTGCGGACTAAATCTTGGTCAGAACTTGTAGATGCACACGCTAAAGAGGCGTTACCCATGATAGCTTGCCTGCATTATAACATCACCAGATAAATAATTAGTCTTGTGTAGACTTATGATGGTTCCCACAATCCCAGTTCCTGTTAAAACTCATAAGATTCAGACCGAACGCAACTATCTTTCCAAAACTGTCTGATGTATCTATGGTTACAGATATTAAAAGAGTCTGGACTAGACCTGGTACATATCAGGTATCCATTACAAGTAAACCATATGTGACAAGCAGCAGACGCTTCTTGACGAATGTATATGGCTTTCGCGGACAATAGATCTGACATCCTCCTGCAAATTAGATTCATTCATAGATAAATCCATATGTGAGATAACAAGAACCATAAACTGTGACTTATGTGACATAAGTTATGTCAGTGTGGATTCATACATTGAATAGTGTCTGTCTGATGCAGCTCCCATGACAAGCTTCTTGACGCCGCGCTCTGAGATCAATTGTACGATCCCCTTCTCTACCGAGTCCGTTTCAATATATATCTTCTCTGCACGGACCTAGAATATCACAATCCACTATCATTTCTCTCTGAAATCAAAGATCTCTTGTTTCATCAAATCAAACCACTTCTGTTATACGCAGTAGCAATACAAGTAATTAAAACATACCTGCATATTCTTGCATACGTGAAGATA